ACAAATCTTCTCAATCATCAAATCAAGTATTGAATGTTAATGTTGACAATTAATTCGTTATCTCTCACAAATATTCCTTGTCTATTTAGATACCATCTTTACAAATTAATCAATTGATTTACCAAACACAAAATTTTCATCTGAATAAAGATGATTCAAAATACAAACTAGGCAAGATAAAAATATTATACGATAGAATTGTTTTTTCTTCTTCAATGTTTTATTGTCAATTTCAGATATGTATAAAAAGATAGCTATGAAGAATAAGATTCGTCAGACGGAAGTAAATAAAATGATAGTTCTACTTCGAAAATTTCTAAAGGTTAAGAAAATTCGAGTTCAAAAGTTTAAACGGTACAATTTTTGAATATTGAGACATATGATGTCTTTTAATATTAGTGCATGCATGTAGTCCATTTAATATCAAATTCTTCTAAGTGTTTTTGTTTTCATTTTTTAATCTATTAACTTTATTCTCGTTGTATTAGAACTGTGTTTGTTTTGTTTTTAATCTAGATTTTTGATTAGATACTAGAAGAAGATATTCGTTCTTCTACTAATATAATTTCATTCTAAAATAATACTTCTATATAATTAATTTAAATGTTTGTTTTTAGATTTATATAAAAAGTTCTATCTATTGCCATCGAAAATGACCGATATTAATAATTATGATGATGTAAGTTATAATTAATGTAATAAATTATGAATTACTCTACTATTCATTCTAGTTCAATTTTGATGATTCATCCGATGATCTCTTATATGAGATTGGACTCACAATGGATAACAGTAATCAAGTGATTGCAGAAGAAAAATGTCTATCTCAAAAACTTAGTCAACTATCAACTTCAGAAGATGATCGAAAACAAATAAATGAAAGCAAACGATCGCCACCATCACCATCAACATCAACAATCGTATCTACAGTGTCCAAAAAAATAAAAGTCGATCATGATTATCAACAAGAAAACAATAGTGACGATGATATAGTTGAAGAAATTATACCGAATTATTTATTAATCAATAATTCTCACTTTCAACAATTATTTCATGCTCTAACATCTACCACAGCTACTTCTCTTACTATAGAAGGTATACAAGAAATTGCTCTACTTTTACGTCAAATCACTATTCTTAATTTACAAAGATCACTTTGGAATATTTATTTACAATCAGGTATTGGTAAATTAGAAACAGATTTTCATCAATCAATAATTCCGAATGAGTCTGTATTCTTATGGCCATCAGAAGTGAAGTCAACATTATCCATGAAGAATAAAAAACAACAACAACAACAACAAAACGAGTTGACTACAATTAATCATAATACTTGTCTCAAGTATGTGAATAAAATGCTCGATCAATACATGAATCATCTTATCGATTATGAAAAGAAATTAAAGAATAAAAACTTTCGTCCAAATAATTTATTTACATTACAAATCAAGGATGATCTTATGCAATATATTGAACAACAAGAGATAAGAATGATACGAATTGAAATCGAAAGTAAAATTGCTATTGTTAAATATGATTATCAAGATCATTTAATCGAATGGGAATATAATCAATTAATACCAAATTCATATCAAGTAAATAAAATTTTTGTAGAAAAGATATCTGATCACTTGTTCATAATATTTATAATTCTTTTCAGCTACAATTATGGAAAAATATCATTCAATTGAAACAAGAAAAAGAAAAGAGTAAATATGAAGTAACCTTATTGAAACAACGTCGTCTCCATCACCATTTACCTGCGCCATTAAAATCATTACAATTACCACTTCTCTCAACATTATCAATTGATACAATCCATGATTTGAAGATTCGTGAACATCTAATGAATCGTTATAGAAAAATTAATGAAGAAACGAAATCAGAAATGATGACATTATATATTCATATTGCTGAAGCAAAAATGAATGAAAATCTAATAAAGTTCAATGAGAATATTGCTCAAATAAGATCTAATCAACAACTGACTCAATCAATGATGAATATTATTGAACGACGTTTCAAAAATATAGATGAACGCTTTGAATATTTATATCAATTAAAAGTTCGTGCTCTTGAACGTCAAAACAAAACTTTATCAAATAGAAAGATATAAATACTATTGTAGAAGTAACTATGAACATTTGCATCCTCATTATTGCATTTTTATTTCTATGTATGAAGTTTCCATACAGTAGTTTTATTGTTGTCATTAGAAAAATCTGTATCTATTCTAGATATTAACATAGTAATAGATTCATGTACGATGAATTCGAATCGAGCAGAACAGGCTGTTTCCCCACTATTATCTACTGTAAATAATAAAGAAGAAAGATACCAACCAAAGACAATACAACAACATAATCGAGGAAGATATGCTTATTTACCTATATTTCCAACAAAATCTTTTGGTCCAAGTGATGATCTACTTTTAGCCAATGTACCAGGTTCGTTTTCTTCTTCTTTTGATTTCTATTCTTTTTATTATTGTTATTGTACAGCTAGTAGTCTTACAGCATATGAATTAGTTCAACGTCAACAAGGAGCCGATACGAATGATGCATTAACAATGATGAATAATTATATGTATTCTGATCCAGAAGGATTTAGTTTATCTGAACAAGATGCGAACGAATTAGCCATACGTTTACAAGTAGGCAAATCCATCATTACTTTTAATGCTAATCGACTTCGTAGCATCTGTTATACTTTTCTTGCATTACATAAAAGATTTCGACGTAAGGTGCTTGAAATGAACCATATAACTTTAGATGAACCAGTACTTAATTCAAAACACATGGCCTTAGCACTTGAATTCTATCTGCAAATAGATGGTACGCACTTTACTTCATATATATATATATATATAGATTAGAAAATGTATTCTGTTTTAGTGGACGTATTTTATATGAAAACTTGTTCATATCGTGAAACTGCTGACTCTTATTCTATTGATAACATGAGTAAAGGTCTTTTCTATGACAAAGATGAATTACAAACAAGATACAACCTAATTCCATGTGATAGTCTATTTTGTTCATGTTGTCATCCACGAAATACTACGAAAAGAAGTCATTCATGGTCAGTCATTGATTTTCAATCAAGTTCAACACATCAATTTGTCAATGGTTATACGACTTATCTCAATTGGCCAGCTGTATAATTCCAAAATAAATGTTTTTTTTCTAGATTCTTATATTCAATTTTAGACATGTGATACATCAAATATCATCTATGCTATGACATGTCCATGTCAACAATATGATTATGTCGAATCAACAGAAAATACTTTGCATGATGCTATGAATTGTATGTTATTTCACATGACTATGAATATTGTTTTCATTGCTGCTAATATAGATCATCGAAAACATGGTAATCGAATTATACATGAAACGTTAACTGGTACTCGTCTATATCGAGGATCAATAGTTGATCCTATGGAGAAACAGTAAGTTTATTTAATAATAAAAATTATTTTTCATTCTTTAAATTGTTTTTTTTTATAGAAAAGAAATAGCGAATAAAATGCGTCTCTATCAACATTCTGCTCAATGTCCAATAGCACTTCGTTCATTTCTAGATTGTAATCCAGACTATTGGTGTTTTGTTCCAATACTTTGGGCAGATGCAGTCACCGAGAATATTATTTATTTTCGAACAAGATCAAGTACAAATAATTTAGAAGAAACTAATATTAGTGGAGTGACTGCTATTGATAATCAAAGAGTACTTCATTATCTTGAGCATGTACCACAACCACCAGCACCTTATGACTTTTCCTATCAACAACGACAAAAGCAACGTCAATTTTTCGAACGATTTCTTACATCGCCATTTTATCAATTGCCTTATTCGCCATTGGATCTATATCGAATAGCAATTATTGCCATTTTACCAAATGATCGTTCGATTATATTACGATATATTATTGAAACATTATTTATTCTACATGGTGAAACTAAATTAAATATGATTTGTCCACTTGGCGGTGATCCTTATCAACGTTATGGTCCTCCTTATAGTAGTGTGTGGTGTGCTAATTTAAATGATAGTGGTTTACCAAGTGCTACGGCAAAAACCACGACAGTTTGATTATATCATACGTTAATAGTTTGACGGTGTATCTAGTGTTTTACTATAAAATGTTTCCTATAGTAGAATAAGCATCTTTTAATCGTTATACTTATAACCATATATATATATACACTATTCTATTCTAGATCTGTCACATTTTCTTCATGCACTAGCATATTATATTCAGTATTATTAATCATCCGTTGTAGTCGAATAAACAAACCATATTTTCTAATTCACAGGTAACAACAACTGGTATATCTATATTTTTAATTATAATTTTTATAGATTTGATTTATTAGATTTGTTTTATCAAATACATATAAAACTAATTCACGAATAAGCTTCTTCTTCAATGGCAACTGTTGTAAAAACAAACTCATATCAACGTCGACTACCCAGAACAAATTCACAAATTGCTAATTCTACTACTCGTGTTTATTTACCATTCGCAGAATATCTGGCGTCTTTTGATCCACAATCCATGTCTTCATCGGTTTTAACAACGTCCACGAATAATTATCATAATACAAACACATCGTCGACATTAAAAATTGATATTATTACGAGTAATACAACTTCATCTCTATTGAATTCAACTACTCTATATAATATACAAAAACGATACATATGGAAATATGTATTGTATTTTACTTTCTTTTGTATTTTACTCATTGTACTTCGAATACTTATTCGTCATTTAAGTGCATGTTATCGAACTTTTCGTGTTGAAAAGTATCACAAAAAATTACAAGGTAGATTTTAACCGAGAGATTCTTTGATTCAAGTTTACTACTATTAAATTTATTTTCTAGATGATTCTACATCTTTAGACTATTTAACAGTGCCAACCGATACTGGAATTCATAAAAATAATAATAATTCTGAAAACGATAACAGTTATGTAGCATTTGCTTCGAATCAAATATCGTTAGGCGGATCTGTCATAACATTATTTCCTGATTATATATGAACATACATTCATATAAACCCTCAAAAATAAAACATGAACTGATACATCTTTTCAAGATGTCATTCTCTTTTTTTGTCGAATATATCTTATTCAATTTTAATATGTCGATTTATTTATGTGTTTTTTTCTTCTTGTAGATTGAATAGACTACTTTAATATTCATCATTTAATTACAATAATGCTATACAAAATGATACAAGATATTGAACAACAAAAACAAGAAATCATAGAAAAAAAGTCAAGAAAAAGATGTCGATTAAATGGAATAACTAGTCAAACAAATGAAATGTTATTAACAGTTCATCAAGATAATCAACAGATACATGAAAAAGAAATGGATGATTGTCCTACAATACACATTCACAATGATCCTATTGATATGTCCTTAATATTATTTGAAAATCAAGAATCAAACAAAGAAAATGCAATAGTTAGTACAACAAATGAATCATCAATAACTACTGAAGAATGGATTTCACCACCATCGATTACAATACATCGAAAGAAAGTCAAACAGTATAATTTATGTAATGATCATTGGAACCGAATATCAAAACTCGTACCAAATTATAATGAATTATCTCCGTATCAATTTAAAGATGTATTAATTAGAATAATTCCTCTCAGAGATCGTCAGAATATTGAGCAATGGTTAGTGAATTTTTCAGTACTAGAATTCATACAACAACGTACTCAATTAATGTGTGATGTTTTTCAGTTGAAAATTGAACACGATTATTGGATATACATGAACAATTTAACAAATATGCCTGTTGTAATTTGGTTATTAGAAATTTCTAAAGATATCATTCGACAAAATTCCATTAATTGGGATCACACAAAAACAAAAGCAAATATTGAACGACGACGAGAAATGATTCATTGCAAATTACAACGAGCAGAAAATCATTTGTACATGCATTTACAACAACCATATTCATTATCTTGTCAAATGGAAACGAAAACTGCTATGGATCATTCGATGAATATTATAATGAATGCTTTGATCGTTCTCGTACAAAATAGTCTATCTCCTTTTCGTACTAATTTTAAACAAAAGAAAATCTTATTAGAATTTGATATTCACGATGTACATCTCGTCAAATCATTCTATGCTTTAAATCCAACAATGGAACAGGTTTCCTTCATTTATTCTATCTAGTTTTATATTTTACTTATTCTTGTAATGTTCTAGATTTTAACAATTCAAAAGATTTGGCGTGCTAAACTTAAATTATGTCAAAAAGCAATTCGTCAAACTAAGAAGAATCAGTCATCATCATCAATGATCTATCATATGACAACCGAAAGTATGAATTTGCATCAACCAAATATATTACCTTCGATAAAATCACTCAGTCCATCAATGTCTAAGATTGTCATGGCTCGTCTAGAAAATATGGAAGAACGTACTCAGCGAATGCTGAATTTTAACAATACTATTTCAGATTCCACATTCTTTTGAGTATATCAAACTTTCATTTTAATTTAATTAAATATTCACATTTCTGTTTTCTTTGATTGTCCTAGTATTGAGATATTATTTATTCCATTTTAGATCTAGTCTTTGACGAATATTCAAAAAAATGTTTTTTAAACTCGACCATCGTTATAATAAAAAGAAAGCAGATATAATACCAATTGATTGTGTAGAACAAACACGAACAACAATTTCGATAAAGATCCAATCATCAACAACAGAAATAAATGCTACTGATAATGACAAAAAACGACAAGCACCATCTTTTCATTGTCAAATAAATAATATTCCTAATCAAAGACAAAAACTACAAGAACAAAACTATTATGAACAAATAGAAATAACATTAGAAGACCAATTGAAACAAGATAACTCTAGTGAAGAATTAGACGATGAATTCGAACGAATTTATATGGATGAATTAGAACGATCCAAAAAACAAAATGATATTCAATATAAAGAATTTGAAAAATCAAAATCTTGCTAACAATTATATCGTTTCAATCAAATACAGACATCATCACAACAATAACAAACATGAGGTAATAAAGTAAAAGACAAGAAAAAACAAGAAACGTTTTATTGTAAAATTCTTTGTTTTTTTTTGTTGCAGCTTACCAGTTTCAACGACTTCTGGTTAATGAATTAATTGAACAAACTTCATGTCATTCTATTGTCTATCATTGATATCTTTTCTCAATACATTTCATTATTCAATTTTGTTTTTTATTAATTATATATTATTTAGTCTTATGCTTTAGATATTCTTATAAAACATTTTTAATCTTGCTTTCTTTATTCTACTCTATACACGACGATGTCAAAACATACTACCAATTCAACAACTAATGATAAAGACGAAGTAAAAGATTCTTGAATTGAAGATTTTATTCAATGAAATATTTTTTTTAGTGTGGAAATTTTGATGTATTCGATGGATTTATAGACAAACTAATTGACGGTAAATTCGATGAGGATAAAGATGATGACATTCAAATCGTTGATGTATCGGCTCAATCAGTTATGAATACAGAGAAAAATCAAAAAACAATCAAGCATCATTCAACTATAGTATGACTAAACAATTGTTTTACATTGAATAAATATTCTTTCTTTTTTTTCTTCTTCTTCTAAATATAGAAATCAAATGAGAAAGAATCTAATAGTGGTATGCAAGAACAAACACCAGTTCTTTCTTGTTCAACAAAATTAACTCTTATGAAATTACTTCGAATAGATTTCAATGAAATTCCTTTCTATCTATTCAAGACAAATCAATCATTTGATAAAAAAATTCGTTCTATATTACCAACAACCGATAAACTAGAACAACTACGATCTATTGCTATATTAATGTATAAAATAATATGTATTAATATGATACGTTCTCTCTGGATAGTTTATCAAAAATCAGGTATGGGTGAACTACAAACAAACTTACTATCAATAAATCAATTAAATAGAAAAGTTTGGCCGAAAGAAATTCTATTATTATTAAATGAAAATCAAATTGTTAATATAAATCATGATAATGCTTGTTCAACCTTAGTAAATCATTGTCTATGTCAATTGAATGATAAAAGTGAAGAATATCGACGTGAATTACGTTTGAATACAACACGATTATCGGATTATACACCTAATATGGAATATATTATTGAAAAGTTTGTAGAACAGGGACTTATTGGTTTACGTATAGAGATCGATTGTCAAATTGCTCTAGTTAAACATGATTATATAGATGAAATACTCAAACAACAATATTTAGCACAAAATCCAACTGCTATACAAGTAAGAAAGAAGAAATTCTATAAAATTATTTAAATTCATTAACATCATCTTCTTCTTTTCTAATCTGTATTTAGATCGAATCTGTAGAACATCTTTGTAAACTCAAATCTAATCATGAAACATTAAGATATGAATTAAATTTATTAAAAGATAAAATTCCAACATATCTATCAACCCATCCATTTGATAGTCAGTCATTAATAGAATCACCATTAATTAATAGTACTCGAAATCCAAGTCTTCGACAACAATTATATATACTATACAAAAATCTTATGGAACAAATAAAAAATAAAATGTTAAATGTTTATCTAGAATCTATCGAACAACAAGCATCTGATTATCAAATGAAGCTCAATAAAGAAATAGATAAAATTTGGGAAATAAATAAGACTCTTTCACAAAATCAACAATTAACTTCCATTATGCCAACTCTTATTGATCAGCGTTTGTCAAATATTACTTCACGTATGATATGTATCCATAAATATAAAACAAAATTATTTGATATTAAAGCAAATAATCACTAGCTAAACGACATTTGTTTTTCTTCTTCTTCTTTTTCAACTTATTAAATATCATTACAAATAGTGTTGTATATGTTCTACTTTAGTTTTAGTTGTAGTTTATCATGAAATAACATTTTAACAATTATACTCATTCATATTATTCTCTCTTTTTCTTATAGATAATGACAAATACAATAGTATTTGATAATATTCTTCGTGAACTTAACGATGATCTTGAAATAGAAGGAAAAGAATATAATCTAAATCAATTCTATTTAAATTTTAAAAATGAAAAACAAGAGAACAATTTAAATCAATCTCAATCAATATCAACATCAGAAAAGCCAATCATGAAAGAGAAAGATTTATTTTTTCTTGACATATCAAATTATCTATCAACATCGAATAGTACTTTAGGTGCAACATTTCTACCTGAATTACGTAGTTATTTTCAACCGATTGATTTTCAAGATTTACAACAATTATGTATGTTAACATATCAAATGTCTATTATACATTTACATCAACAACTTTGGCATCGGTTTTTACAATCTAGTAAAAATCAATTGAAATTACAAGAACAAGTATCTTTATTATCAGATAGTTTTCAGATAAGTCTATCTTTTTATCCTGAAATAGTGACTTCAATAATGATTTCTCAGGGAATTATTGATGTTAATAAACAAGATGCAATCGAACCAACTATTTATATTCAATTTAGTAAAAATTATCTGCAAGAATTAGAAGAAAAAGTAAAACAATATCGAATTCAATTTGATACTTTGAAAAATTCTCTACCAAATCATACTGAGACAT